ACACATGCACTCTCTCTCTCTAAATTAAATAAACCTCGAAAAAAAATAGTGTGGTATGGATGAAAAAACAGATTAGTAGAACAGAATAAAGAACCCAGAAATAGACCCACACAAATATAGTCAACTGGTCTTTCACAAGGGATGAAAAGCAATTCAATGGAGAAATGATAGTTTTTACAACAAATGGTTTTGGAACAACTGGACATCCACATGCAAAAAAAAAAAATGAACCTTGATAACTGTCACAAAAATTAACTCAGAATGTTCTGATGTAGATTATAAAACTCCTAGAAGATAACATAGGAGAAAATCTAGGTGACCTTGGATTTGTCAATAACTTTTTAGATAAAATACCAAAAGTTTGATCCATGAAACAAAACATTGATAAGTTGACCTTCATTGAAATTAAAACTTCTACTCTGCAAAAGACATTGCTAAGAGAATAAAAAGACAGGCCACAGACCAGGAGAAAATATTTATAAAACACATTATCTGATAAAGGACTGATATCCAAAATGCATAAAGAACTTTTCAAACTCAAGAGGAAGAAAACAAACAATTATCTAATTTAAAGATGGGCAAACGATCTGAACAGACACCTCAGCAAAGAAGATAATAAAGATGGCAAATAGGCATGTCCAAAATACACAAGGAACTTCTAAAACTCAACAATATCTCAACTTGTAAACAAAATCTCAGAAACAAACAAACTCATTAACTCAAGAAAAAATAACTCAAACCATTAAAAAAAAATGGGCAATAAAAAAAAGTATGGGCAATAGATCTGAACAGATATCTCATCAAAGAATTTAAGCAGATGGAAATAAGCATATAGAAAGATGTTCAACATCATATATCATTAGGGAGCTGCAAATTAAAGCTACAATGAGATACTACCAAACACCCATTAGAAGGGCTAAATGCAAAACACCCCTGATCATATCAAATGCTGACAATAGTGTGGAACAACATTCCTGGAGGGAATGCAAAATAGTACAAGCACTTGGGAAGACAATTTGGCAGTTTCTTAAAAAACTAAACATAATCCTACCATATGATCCAGCAATCACGCTCCTAGATATTTACCCAAGAGCTGAAAACATGTCTACACAAAAACCTGCACACAAATATTGAACAATTACCAATAACTGCCCCAAACTGGAAGGAACTGAGAGGTCCTTCAATAGGTAAATGGATAAACACTGTGGTACATCCAGATGATGGGTATTATTCAGCAGTATAAAGAAATGTTCTATCCAGCCACAAAAAGACATGGAGGAACTCTAAATACATATTGCTAAATGAAAGAAGCCAGTCTAAAAGGCTACATATTTTTGATTCCAACTCTTTGACATTTTGGAAAGAGCAAAACTATAGAGAGGGCAAAAAGATCAGTAGTTGTCAGTGTTTGGGGGAGGAAGAGAGGAAAAGGAGAGGTGGAACATGGGATCTGAGCCTTGTACAACTATTCTGCTTGATACTATTATGGTGGATACATGGCACTCTGCATTTGTCAACACTCATAAATTGTATAACAGAAAGAGTGAGACCTACTATAAACTATGGACTTTAGTTGTTAATAATGTACCAGTATCGGTCCATAAACTTTAACAAATGAACCACACTATCACAAGATGTTAAAAATAGAGTAAACTATGGGAGAAGGGGGTGAGATATACAGTATTTGGTGCTACTTGCTCAATTTTTCAATAAACCTAAAACTGCTCTAAAATATGAGGTCTATTAAATATTAAAAAGTGAGACAACATTTGAGAAAAAACATACAGTACAGAAAGTCAATTGTAGCTTATCTACTTTTATCATTACTTCACTGCAACTATTTATAACAGGATCCATTATTTTTTTTATGTATATTGGTTTTTGGCCCAGATCATAATTTACTGACTACAGATTCTGCTATTATAAATTTTAGGGATTATTATTTTTACCAGTCATTTTTCTGGGGTGAAATTATGCATATCAAAATGTTTTTCAAATATATTTTTTCCTCCATTAATTTTTAGTCAGTGATAATTAATCTTCACCATGAGGAGTTTTAAACCACTATTTAGTTTTATTCTGTGTGTATTATTTTTACTAGTATATTCACCATGAGGGTCAAACATGGTGGGGTCAACAGATTCTAGTCTTTGATTTACAGAGATATAATTTTGACTCAGCTTTTTAGGTACATGTTTCTTGCTTAAAAGACTTCACCAGCCCACCTCTACCCACCCCATTTATGAAATAGGAAAGGTTTTTCTCAGATCTTGTAAGGGACAAGCAGATGAACACCGACACAGTGGTTCCCATCATTCTGCTGGAACCCAAAGCAGAGGTCCCACTCACACACTGTGGTTTAGAACCGAGACTCTGTTCTCTCTGTGAACGAGTGAACATCAAGGAAGGAGAGGCTGCGGATGCCCTACGCACCTGAAAATAACCGCCTCTCCTCCTCTTCATCTTGGAGTTCAGGGTAGCAAAGAGCACTGGTAGTTTCCAGTTTTCATTCCTCCTTTGCTTAAAAACAGACAGTTTTAATTTAGGCAGCAATTCAACAAATGAAAAGACTAAAGTGCCTAACCTCTGTGGCAGCTAAGCGTGACCAGACGAAGTTCAGGCCAATGACGTATGATCGGAGTTTGGTGTGGGACTTCAAGGAGGCTGGCCAGATGGCACAGACACAGCTGGGAGGCACAGACACCTCTTTTGCCCTCCTCCTCCCTCTTGCCTGCTGTCTCAAGTGCAGATGGGGTGGCTGGTCCAGGCTGGAGCTCCAGCAGCCACCCTGGACCAGGGACAGACTTGATGAGGGAAACCACATGCTAAGATGCTGGAGAAGGACAGATGAGCTGGAGTCCTCCATGATGAGCAGTCCAGGATCAGTAAGGACTGCCTGCCTCCAGAGTTTTTGGGGGGCTTGGGGCATTTGTTTTGGTTTTTGTTTTGTTAGCAAATGTCCTCTACCACAGGGGATGTGGGCAAGTTTTATGAATACAGAAAAGGGCAGGTTGGCGAGGACAGCCATCTCCCTGAACATAGGCCATGTTCTCTGCTTATTGTCAGTAAGTTACAAATAAGTCAGTGCCCATTGTCCATCTGCTGGGGGTGGGGGGGGTCACTGGAGTTGTCCCACAAGAGAAAAAGACTTCTTTTATATGAGAAAGATATAAATCTCTTTCTTGTTTATGCCATATTATTTTGGGTTTTCTACTATATATAGGCAAATCCAAGCCTAACCAAAATATGAGCTTTGCCACTGAATCACTGTGTGATCTTGGACAAGACAGGTCCCTTCTCTGGGGACAGCCCCTTGTAGTGGCAGAGACAGGTCAGAGGCAGCTTGCATGATTCTGAGACTTGGGGTGCCTTTGCCTGGCTGACACCCATGTCCTCTTCCGTTGGGAAGAGTACATCAGTATTTCTTTGGGGAACTGCCCCTTCCCCACCCTCCGTCCTGGTTAAGTGAGGCTGACACCCCTCCCTTGGGTCCAGTGGAGCACATGTGACCCAGGCCCCAGCAGCTGTGGGATGCACAGAGCTGGCTGAAGGAGACCAACCTCATGTGTGGATCCACTGTTGCAATGCCCAGGTGTACACAACAATTTGAGGGCTCGCGTGTATGCACTCTTCTCGGGTCTTCCCCAGGGCCCCTTGTGTGTGCCTGGCTATGGACACAAAGCCTGGCTGCCGTGTACTGCGTTCCTTTCTGTACCCATGCTACTCCACCTTCACACCCCAACCTGCTTTGATGGGGCCTGACCTCACTGAGCATCCATGTATGTGGCTCTGTATCTGGTCTCTCATTGCACAATTAGGAAACTGAGGCCCAGAGTGAGTCAGGGACTGGTCTGGGGCTCAGGAGGTGGGCAGAGTCTAAAGGAAAAGGAAGAGCTTTAGGCCAGGGCTCAACACCTCCCGAAGGGGTTTACTTGATGTTAAGAGCCTCTAAGATCCTAGGGGGACCCCTGTCTATCCCCTCGCCATATAGGGTCATTTTCTTCTCCACATCCTCACATGTGCACAGACATACTCACTCACATTGACTTCTCAGGTGGGGACCATGGAGGTGTGGTCAAGAAAGAGCAGACACAGGGGAACTTACAAGAGGGAGAGTTAGAAAGAGGTTGGAGGCAGCTCTGTCATGGGGCAGGGACATCCATTTTCCTAACGACCTGCTCAATAGGGGAATACCTAAGGTCCCAAGGATAGCTTTGAGGGGACAGGACTGGGGTTTTGCAGTCCACCTCTGTGGGCACCTGGGACCACAGTGAGCCCACAGCCCCTAGTGTGGACAGTAGCTACAGAAGAACAGGTCAGGAGACAGATCCGCAGCAGACCAGGGGACAGGCGATGCAGGGTGGGGGGCAGGTGAGGAGGACAGGATGTGCCTGGTGTGGGGGGTGGAGGGAGCTGGGAGCAAGGCCAAGGCTCCCTCCAGGCTCCCCTTCCCCGGGGCCTCACTTGTGCTTCTTGGGATCATCTCCAAAACAAATGACTTGTCCCCAAGTCCTTGTCCACATTTGGGGAACCAAAAACTATGCTGAGATTCTCTACAGGCTGTGTGCCTTTGAGCAGGTTGTCTCAGCCTTTTGGACTTGAGCTTCCACACCTGTAAAACAGGGACAAAATCCTACCTCATCAAGACATTAGAAGAGGTTAAAGCATGGGAAAACCCAAACTGATGCAAAATCAAAATGCAAACCAGGTGAAAGAAATAGGAGTTGAGGAAGTCAAGGAAGGAAGGTACGCAGGCTGTCCAGGTGCCACAGAAAGCTACTGGTCAATGAGACTCGGCATGGTTAGGCCACCTAGTCCAGGAAGATGAACTCAACAAGGAAGATGGCACAATGGAGCTTTCCAGAGAGAAGGATCTGAGTCTCACAAGATTAAAGAGGCCCACAGAAAAACTAAGGAGGCCTGGAAAATTTTCCTCAAAATGCTTTAATTTGGTCAGGCAAATTGCCAAATACCCAGTCAAGACTGGATTAATTCTCTGTTGGTTGCATGGTTGCAATTATTTTACACTGTTAAATGTAAAATGTATTCATGCCCATACATTTTAATCATTTTGTTTCCCAAGATGAAGGGTCAAGTGTGCCTATTGGAATCATGTCCTCTGGAGTACTGGTCTTTATTTTAAGTGGCCCACTCCTGTGACCCACCATTGCTGCTAACCACGTGGAACTCCCCTTTTCACCTCCACGCTCCTCATTGGAAGTGATCTCCACATGGGCAGAGACCACACCATGTCCTGGTCACCGATGAGGCTACAGCGCTGGGTATAGAGCAGGGATGGATGGGTGGACAGATGGACAGGAGGAGAGAGAAGGGTGTCCATTAAAAATGAGCCTTTATGTGGGGTGGGGTGAGGGTGTCACAAGTACAGGCCCTGGATCGTATGCACGGAGCGCTTCCAGCTGTCCTTCCAGCTCTGAGCCTCCTTCACCTGCACCATGTTGTCATTCTGGATCTTCTTCAACTCCTCTTCAAATAGTGCTAGATATTTCTGGGAGCAAAGCAGCAGGGGGAGGCCAGATGAGGAGGGACTTCTGGACTCTGGGCCCTAACGGAATGCTGTAACCCACTGGCAGGTAGCTTTTAACCTACTCCAGGCACTGGCAAGAACTCCACAAATCATCCCGCATGTAATCTGCCCAACCACCCATCAGGCAGGTCCGGTTGTTCCCTCATTTTATAGATGTGGAAACTGAGGCTCAAAACCTTGCCTGGGGTCACCCAGCTAGAAAGAACACTTGTTCCTAACTGCCATCCAGCGTGGTGGCCTCCCTGGAGCTCAGGGCTCTCAGCTTCCTTGGAAGGCTGATCCCTCCAGACCTTGAGCACTTACTGAACTCAGCAGAGTGGTCCCCTTCCCCCTGGAGCTTGGCGTGGTGGCCAGGGAAGGGCCTGGGCTCTCCCAGCATGGGGATCAGCCTATCTTGTCCATGTCCACCCAGTGCCGCCTACTGCTACCGGGGCTTCTGTGCCTGTGACTAGTCTGGCCCCTCGCTCTAACTCAACCGTTCCTCTGGAAGGTCCTCCTTCATCCTCCAGTCTGGGTGGGGTGTCCCTCAGCACTGGGGCTCATATGCCACAAGAGCCACGCTATCGCTGGGATTGGACATGACCTGCAGATCTCATCCTTGGGCCTGAGAACATTAACTGTCTTGAGTGTTGACACCACCTCTGGGGCACCCTGATGTGGGTCATCTGCTCCACGGGCCAAACCCCAGGGCTCCCTGTGATGGGAAGCTCCCTTCTTCCCAAGGCAGCCAAACAGCTGCCCTGCGCTCCCTGGGGCCTGCCCAGCACCCCCTGGTCTCTCCACTCACCAGGTAGACGGCATCTCGGGCTTCCACGGCTGCCAGGTGGCCCAGGGTCGTTTTGGTGGTGGTGATGGATGATGTTTTCCGGAGGAGAATCTTATTTTGGATGGTGACTTCAGTGGGTTTGATTCCTGGCCACTTCCTACAAATAAATATGCATGTCAAGGCGGACAGGCTTGTCATCATCATCAGTCACAGCGCACCTTCCAATCCCGGTGGAAGAGTTTAGCAGATCTTTTTTTTAAAAAAAAAAAAAAAGGTCACATCTGAAACATCTTCATTAAAAGGAAAACCCTACTGAGCATTTAACATTAAGCTTCTTCAAGTTCTTTTTTGTACTTTCACGCTGTTTAAATCCGTGTGCGTAGACGGTCTTGGCTTCTGCGTGGGGCGGGGGGCGCGGGGGGAGGAATGCCACACCTCTGGTTGTCTCCCTTTGCCAGGCCTGTTTCCTCAGCAGGGGGCCGGCCAGGAGGCAGGCACCCATTCCTAGCCCATTTTTCCTACTGGGCTGGGCAAATCACTGCCTTACTTCTTCCAGAGCCACATTCTTGGAGCCCACGGAACAAGCACTTTGACAGCTCACATGCAGTGGTTCACAGTGCCACTGGCAACTCGAGAATGTGCCCCATACTGGGATGGGCCTCCCTTTCTTTGCAGGCCCACCTTTGTGGGTCCTTAGCAAGGGAACTAATAGCTGCTGAGCCCTTGTTATGTGCCAGGAGCACTCTAAGGAAGATCTCGTTAAACTTTCTCTTTATAATACCACGGAAGTTGGGCTGCCATGCCCATTTCACAGGTGAGGAAACTGAGGCTTAGAACATAATGCCTTTCCGGGATACCTGGGTGGCTCAGCCATTAAGTGTCTGCCTTCGGCTCAGGTCATGATCCCAGGGTCCTGGGATCGAGCCCCGCATCGGGCTCCCTGCCTCGTGGGAGGCCTGCTTCTCCCTCTCCCACTCCCCCTGCTTTTGTTCCCTCTCTCACTGTCTCTCTTTCTGCCAAATAAATAAATAAATAAAATCTTAAAAAAAAAAAAAAAAAACATAATGCCTTTCCAAGGCTTCCAGGTGCCCCTAACCATTCCACTGCCCTGTGCTCCAGCAAACACGGCCATGGATGATACCCCTCAGTGCTCTCGGCTCTTACCTGCTCCCCCGTTCAATCAGGGGCTTTTCACTTTCTTCCTTCAGGGAAAGCCTAGCGAGTTTCCTCCGTATGAGGATTGATGTTTTCTGTTTGGGGGACTCCATCCCTGACAGGCAAAAGACAGGTTATGACCATGGCCTCACGCACAGTCTAAGATCGAGGGGATTTCCCCCTGACCTTACGTTTGGAGGGATGAGGACTTGCTCCCCTCCTCCCCACTTGGGAGTCTCCAGAGGGACGCGGAGCCCAGTCCCACAGAGAAGCTGAAAGCACCAGATCTGTAGGCCTGGGATGGAGGGGCGGCGGCCAGTGGCGGCAGGCAGGGGGCCTGGCTGAGCGATGGGAGGTATGGTTTAGGTGTTCTTCCCAGCTCCAAAGCCCAGGGCATGATGCTTTGACCTTCGCACAGCTTCCATGAGCCTCCAGGTAAGCTTTGGTGTAGACCAGCTCAGATGGGTTCTGAACGAAGAACTACCCCTGGGGCAAACACATTCAAAGTCCCTCTGATGTCTGGCTCACTGACCTGTCCTTTGATGTGCTTTCCTATGGGGTGAAAGCCAGCAGGGAAGGGCAACCCTGATCTGCCAGGGAGGGCAGGGCCAGGCCACTTGGCTCCGAAGCCTGAGTTACAGCAGGAAAGGCCTCCTTGGGGGCTGATACAGGGGGTCTTCCCAGCTCCACGGTTCCTTCCAAGGTACCAGGAGTACCTTCCCTGCTGGCTGCTCTGCCCATTCTCCCTAATCTCTAGCCCCGCTTCCCAAACAAGGCTCACACTGGCTGGAGAGACCTCCAGTACGGGAAAATAACCAGTGCCTCAACATCCATATACATGTTGACCCAAAAAGTCCACTTCTAGGAACCTATAGCCCCAGAATAGAGATATAAGGACGCAGATGCTCCCTTCAGCACAAGCACAGGAGTGAAAAACTGAAAATGGCCCAATGTTCGACAGCAGGAGACTAATTAATAAAGTATGACACACAGCAAGAGAAAATGCTCAAGAAGATGACTGACTGTCCTGGCCAACGTCCACCTGAGGGTGAATTAAGTTATAAAAGAGCACACACCCTATAACACCCCCCCGACACACATACTCAGGCCTGTGCCCAAAAGGAAAGGACTGGAAGGATGAACAGCAAATAGTAAGGGCACTCTATTCTGGGTGGAAAGACTGTGTTCTTTACTTCCTTTGTAACTGATAGTGAGTTTTTAATTTTACTATAAAAAATGTAGTGTCCTTGTAATGAAAGCTTTTTAAAATAAAAATATTTTAATTACTCACTAAGTTAGTGATAAATTGATAACATTTAATACATGATTCACATCTTTATATAGTAGCTTGTTAGGAATATCTGTCCAGTTTGTGGTTTGTCTTTCAATTTTTCGACATTTTTCTTTGTTTTTATTTTGGCCACAGAGGAGTGTCAGCCATTTCCTTAATGGCTTCTGGCTCTCATCTCATACTTAGGAAAGCTGCCTTTACCAAGATTATGAAAATATTTACTATTAGGGTTTTATTTTTTTACATATAATTTTTGACCCATTTGGGGATTTGCTTTTTTAATTAAAAAAAAAACCTTATTTTTAATGAAAACAAAGTCTTGTCAGTGGAGAATCTATTTTCATTCTGGTGGAATTGGGGGAAAAGCAGATGCCCGTGGCCCATCACCCTCCACCTCACCGACCCCTGGGGCCCAGGCAGAAGGCCGGTGGTATGACTTACTTGCAACCTGGACATCGTCGATGGTGACCACTTCATCCAACTGCAGCAGGAACTTCTCGGTGAAGGTGGCCAGGCTGGCTATGAAAAACCGGCCGTACTTCCTGGTGAATTCCTGGGGGAAACATGGGCAACCTGGTGTTGCAGGGAGAGGAGTCTGCCTCCAAAGGCAGGCTGAGGGAGGACTTGGGGAGCTAGCAGGTGAGATGAGACCAAAGTCATGTGTCGGCTATGTATGTCCAAGGTAAGTGGCATCTGGTCCTCAGCCAAGAGGCCTCTCCCAAGAGCTGACTGGGCTTGAAGATAGGAAATGATTCAGAAGTGGCAAAGGGATGCCCACAAACAATTCACTAAAGAGAAATAAATAGACATGGATCTCGAAAAAAGAAGTTCGCATTAGTAATTTTAGAGTAATTCATTTAGAAATCAAAAGATGCATGTTAAACCAGCCAATAATGATGAACCAACCCTATAACACCTGCCGACTTTCATGCCCCTCTTCGGCCAGGGCGCCAGGTAGGGGCCATGCTCAGCACTGTTGCTGGACTGTCAGTCGGGGGTGGGGGCGAAGGAGAGGCCTCTCTGGGGGCAGTGCAAGCCCTCAGCACCCAGACCTGGGAGTCCATGGCACCACTGACCTCGAGCTTCTCTTTGTTTGCCACAATCACAGTGTCTAAATCATCCTGCCTTTTCTCTTCCACTTGACACAGAGACTCCATTTCTTGGAAATGTGTGGGATGTCCAAGATTCAGATGGAGCTTCTGGGCATTTTCATCCTTCAATCGAACAATACAGAAATCAGTGGGGGTTTTGACCTGGTCTCTAGGTCAGGACCAAAATGTCATTGGCCCATGCCCTCTGCTAATAAAGGCCAGGGCCAGAATGATGCGTGCTCTGACCCAGGTGTGTGAAGGGCCATGGATGGGCAGAGAAGAGGCAGAGAAGACAAGATAGGGGCGAGGCTGCAGCTGATGCTGAGAGCTAGGGAATGGGAGAGCCAAGCAGCTGCCTCAGCACAACCAGGGCCTTAGTCCAGTAAGATTGATGGCATCCATGTCCCATGCCTCCAAGGACCAGGTAGACCATCATTGTTGATGTCAATGACCACACTCACACAGAAACGGCAAACCCACCAAGTAAGTCCAAAAAGAAACTTACTGAACACCTTCTATGAAGAAGGTATTTCTCCAACGCCCCATGCCCCTCGGACCCTGTCCAACAGTCCCAACCTGGCCAGTTCTGCCTATGCCTTGCCTCCATTTCTGAGCTCCCAGGGCCCTTGGTCCTGGAGAGGAAGGGCCAGTCTTGGGGCTCTCACCTTCCTTTCCTCCAGCTTCTCCTGATAATTCCGGAACCGTCCCCGGATCTCCTCGGCAGAGGCACAGAATCTTTTCCAGTGGTTTTCCTTGAAGTTCTCCATCACCAGCCAGCACACCTGGGGCAGCAGCTCCTCAAATCTCCTCAGCTGGGCCCGTAATTCTATAGGAATTGGAGGTGGGGGAGCCAGGGGAGGGGACAGAACAAAGCCAAGGTGCTGCAGTGATCGCTCCCACAAAGTCCCAAAGCAGTGTCCCAAAGAGAAAGACCTGGTCTACAACGTGGCAACAGCTATCTCATCAGAAGGGGTCGGGCAGTCAGAGCAGTACCGAAAATACTGGATTAAGCAAATTCAAAGTCAAAGGACTTCCCTTGAACACTCTGCAGGACTTCCCAGCTCATGAAAAGTTCAGTGAGTCTTGAAGTGTCTGTCCCATCTGTTATCCCTTCAAAGACTGCCTTGATTCTAGTCCCCTTCTGTCCCTCCGGACCCCTAAGTAGCTCTATGTTAGGCTTACCTTCTCATCCACATCCCTTTACCTCTCTCCCAGATTGTCATCGCTTTGTTTTTCTGCTTTGTATTTTGGATATTTTCTTGATAGTAAAGCCATTCATAATTTTAAATCTTCAACTATTTATTTTTCCAATTTAGAAGTTCTATGTGGTTCTCTTTCCTACCTACTTGGTCATTTTAATAGCCTCTCACTCCTTACTCATGTTTCCAGTATCCTTTTCTAATTAATTCTATTAAATACATGATTTTATATTCTGTGTCTGATATGTTCAATACCCAAAGTCTTTACTGATCTCATTCTGCTGTCTCACGCTTAAGGGGCCCATTTCCCTTGAGTGTGTGTGTGTGTGTGTGTGTGTGTGTGTGTGTGTGTGTGTTGTTTGTCCGTTTTTTACTGTGAGCTTTTATTTTGGGCATTTGATTTGTGAGAATCCTTAGAGGTCTGAACTGAAGGCGGGTTTTTTGTAGAGAGGATTTATAGTGTCTCCATTGATAAGCAGCTGGGCACCACTAACTCAAGATCATTTTAAGCTAAATTATCAGCTGGAAGTCTTTTGGATGATCCACAAAAACAAAGTCAAATTCAAGCGCAAAGCCTGTTTTATAGTTATGGATTCTTTTATTTTTTAAGATAAATTTTATGTATTTATTTGCCAGAGAGAGAGAGAGTGCGCACAAGCAGGGGTGAAGGGCAGAGGGAGACCCTGGACTCAATCCCGGAACCCTGGGATCACGACCTGAACCAGAGGCAGCTGCTTAACCAACTGAGCCACCCAGGTGTTCCAATAGTTGTGGATTCCTATTGGAGTTTTCCTTCTGCTTTCCCTAGTAGCAGGGTTTTTAATAAGACCATTTCCTTCTAGTCGCTGGTGGTGGTAGTGGTGCAGGAGCAGGGAGAGGGACTTGGTTTCTGTCCCATTTGTCCTACTCTGCAGCTGGAGCCCTGTGGGGTCCCAGTTTTCTGTGGCTGTGTCCTTCCAGACTTTCTACCTTGGGTGGTCTGGGGCTTTGTCTCCCGTTCCCAAGGCCCTGGAGGCCATGAAAACAAAGGCTCACCTGGGAGTCAGCAAAGGCCTTTGGGCAATGTGTTACTGTTCAGTTTCTCTCTTGGAGTTCCTATTTTCACCCAATTTGGGGCCTTTGTGTGTTTCTTACTTTACAGCTAGCTCATCAATACATTCAAAAGACTTTATCACAAAAATATTATATCCGATACTTTTAAATGTTTTCAGTGGGAAGGCTGGTCAGGATACTGGACTCCCACGCTGTAGGAAATGGAAGTCTCCATTTAATGGGAGCTGTGACTCTTACAGAGAAGAACATAATCTGCAGCATTTCCCAAACCCATGTGACCATAGAACATTTCTTTTGAGGAAGGTCATAAAGGATGGGATCCCAGAGTTCATGTGGGGAAATTCTGAGCTAAAGGAACAGTTTGAAGTCCAGTCGCTCTACTGTAACAGCAGTGAGACCCACTATGGGTGATTTTCCCTGGATGTGGCAGGTCTCTGTGACTGGCTGAATCCTCAGAAAAGCCTTATATGGTGAGTGTTGTCTTAATCTCCAGTGCACACACAAGGAAACTGAGGCTCACAGAAGTGAGGTGACTTGGTCAAGGTCATAAGGTGGGGAGATGGCAGCGCTGGGTCTTGACCCTATGTCTGGGTGTCCCCTGATCCTCTCCCTCTTCTACCCATGCTTCCCCTCAACCAACAAACAGGACTGTGATGGGCCCTCAGGCGTCCTGCCTTAGAAGCAGGAATAATTAGGACTTACAACTGCATACAACATGCATGGCTATAAACAAAGATGCAGAGGAATGTGGAGAGATGGGCAAAGGTGGGAGCTGGGTGTGTTTTCACAGCTTCTTTAAGGTCATTACAATAAGTGTGAATGGCACAATGTATTCTACCTGCCTGTTTTCATGTCCCTACTTTCCAGGAGCCTGTGCCTATCGGGGTCATCAGAGGCCAGCACAGGCCAGGCATACAGTAGGCACTTAACAAATACCCATGGAAAGTTTTCTTCAAACGGTCAAATACAGAGTTACCACATGACCCAGCGATTCCACTCCTAGTTATATACATCCAAGAGAAATGAAAATGTACATCCACAACAAAACTCGTGTGTGAATGTGTGTAGCAGCACTACTCACAGTAGCCAAAGGTGGAAACCACCGAATGAATGGATAGACAAACTGTGGTACGTGCACACAATGGAATGAGAATCGGCCATAAAGAGGAATGAAATAGGTGTCACCTGATACAACATGGATGAACCATGAAAACATTATGCAAAATGAAAGAAGCCAGTCACAAAAGACGACACGGTACATGGTTCCATTCATATGCAAGCCTGGAATAGGAAAATCTACAGAGGGAGAAAGTAGCTGAGTGGTGCTGAGGGCTGGGGCAGTGACAGAGGACAGGGGTTCCACACCTGACAGTGGTGATCATTGCCCAGGTCCGTGAGTATACTAAAATCCACTGAATTGTACACTTTACATGCGCGAATAGTATGGCATGTGAGTGTCTCAATAAAGCTCTCAAAAGTCATCTGGGCAATGAACAAAACATTCTTAATGATGCATATCACCAGATTTCTCAAGAAAAGTGATCTTTTTCAGCATTGTTATTTCTCCTAGTTAAATCCGATCAATGCTTTTACCTCATGCTAAGATGTCCGCTTTTCACAGGGAGGCTCCTGTGCCTCCCCTGGTGACCTCCAGGTCAGGAAGGCGTCCTCTGGGCTTTGAGGTCCAGGCTCTGCTCAGGTGGTGGCACGTGCCATGCCCCTGAACTGCCCGCCCGCCTGCCGCCCGCACCCACCTATGAGGCAGGAGTTATGGTACTCGTCTGTCTGCATGTGATACTCCAGGATCTTCTTGCAGATGTTCTCGGCACACTGGTCAAAGTTTTCGTACATGCAGTCAGGCCTGGTGATGGTGCGCTTCTCTCTGTGGTAGAACTCCTGCAGGAGAGGCTGACCATCACCACGGGGCTCTGGAGCATCACCGTGGTCCTACAACCTCCACCCTGTTCTCCACGCTGCCTAGCCCTTTCTCCTGATGGCCCCTCTGCCAGCCACACTCTTCCTACCCAACTGCCCTTTTCACCACTGTCATTATCCCAGTCACAAGGCATATGTGACCAAATGGCAAAACTCTATTGGTCCTTCAAGACCCAGATGGAATCTTATTTCAATGACTGGGTTGAGAACTTTCTATGATGCTTTCTATTAAGTGCCAAGCCAGGTAATAGGTAGGCCAAGGGCCACAGATATGGAAGACTCAGAGCCCCTGTTCTGAAGGATTTGCAGCCCAGTGGGAGGCTGACAGGAACATGCACAGACAGCCCTGTGTGGGGTGTGCTGGAACTGGGCACTGGGTAGCTCCCATTGGAGGCCCCCCAGGTGCCTGCTCCAGCAGCCTCACCCAGCTCCCTGTGGGGTCACCATGTCTGTTGCCCGTCTGCAGGATGCTGGCCTCCCAGCGACAGAGACTGGGCTTGTTGCTCTTGGCTCACCCAGTATCTGACCCACAGTGTCCAAGAGATGTGTGGTGGCTCAATAAATGGATAAATGAATGAATGAGGTTTAATTTTTAGGAAAACAGCACATGAGGTGACAGAAGCTAGGTAGCCGTGTTCGTGGGAGCTGGAATTCCTCAATTGCACCCATAAGGCCATTATCAGCAGAACAGAAGAGGCAGAGGCAGCTGCCGATGTGTGGCCAGCAGCCGGTCAAGGGACAGGCAGAGGTCTGTGGCTAGCGGCCCTCACCTCTACAACGTTCAACAGATGCTCATTGCTCTCCCAGAGGAGGGTCAGGATGATCCCTTTAAAATCCCTGCAACACACAAAAGACAGATCCCTAAGGGGCCTTATCTAATCACATGAAATGGTGTGGACAAAACCAAATGGGCAGAACATTCTGAGTGCACAGTGGCCCAGCCAGAATTGGACAGTTCCTGTGATGCCCAGGTGTATTCTCATCCGATATTTCTATTTGTCTAGTTTAATGCCTCTCCTATGTGACAATCTGGGTTTTGCCCCTTCCAAGAGTCTTTTCTTTCTTGGCCTCATCATTCCTTGTAGCTACTTGCTCCTGCCCCAGGATCTTCGCACACACTGATTCCTCCCCCCAAGAACACTGCTAACTTTCCTGTTGGTCACATTTTCTACTGCTCTTCCTCAGATCCCAGCTTGGTGGCAATTCCCGACCATCCTATTCCCATGCTTTCAGAGTGGTTCTCAGCCCTACAACACTCCCCACAGGGGGATTTGGGATTGACTTGTGTGACTGGCTGATTAACCTCTATCTCTCCCAGAAAAAAATGGTAAAGTTCACCTGGACACAGACTGTTGTATCTATTTTTGCTTACCATGGAACCCCCAGTCCCACTGCAGTATCTGCACTTGTCAGTGCCTCGGGATCAGTTGAAAGAAGAAAGAACAATTTCTTATAAATGTTAATCAGAAGAGCAAGCAGACTTCCTGTAGGACCAAACATCCTCCTTCTGGCACCTCTGGCCAGTAGGCTGACTGTGTGCACACCAGGGCTCTACTGAACAAATCTGCACAGATGCACTGGCTATTCCTGTCCAGCTAGGTCAACCTTCTCTATAGTAGGAATGAAATAAGGGACAGGTGTCTCAGAACCGCATGTAGCTGTGGGACACTTAATTTTGCACAATTTCTGTTAAGTGATGCAGCGACTGCTGTACACACATGTTGTTGGCCAATTTCTAAGATATATGCATATCGGTCACTTGATGTTTCATTTGAAAATGCACTCATCATAATTAAAGAAAATTAGAAATAGACTGAAGAGCAAAGGAAAAAAATGAAGGCTAACATTTTATGATATTTCCTTCTGCTGCTTTTAAAATCAGTTTGGAATTAGGTTCATGTATATTTTACATTCTGTTCACTTGCTAAGTATTCCCCCACATTAAGATATCTTTTTAAATGGCTGTGTAACATCACTGACTATACAAGCACCACGGTTTGCAATCTCCTATTTTTGGAATGTTAGGTTTTCCCATTTTTAACCAGGATAAAAAGTATTGCATGGCGTAGCTTTGTGCGAGTTCTCTCTTCTCGATAGGATGGTTTCCTCGGGAGAAACACCTAAGGTGGTGCACGACAGGCATAATTGTATGCCCTTTACTACCTTCCCAAACTGCTTTCTGGAAAGATCTTTTGCTGTTGGCCATGACAAAAACTCTTTTTGGCCAGCATTAGACAGACTCCTTTGTATGTGTTCACTATCCCTTCCTAAACAGTCCGCTGTGTGATTCATGCCACTGGCATGATTTGACTCAGGATAATGTGGAACCTCACTGGCTTCTCTGGGAAACTTCACGTCTCCCCAGACTGGCCCATCTAAGTCCTCTGCCTTCCCCTCACCTCTGCTCCTTGACTTCCTCCTCTCCCCACCTCCATCTCCCCTTCAATTTCCTGGTACCCTTCGACACAACCCCCTGCAAAGCCCCACCTCTGTCCACCCTGCAGGACATTTCTCTTCCCACTCCCGCCCTCACCTCCCACAATCCCTTGAACTCTAGGCCTCCCATCCCTCTCGGGGCTCTCAGGAGACCGGGGAACCCTAAAAACAAATGCCTGAGACTGAAAAGGAAAAAGGGCTAGTTGGAAATAGGTTGAGCATTTTAGCCACTCATATACACCCCAGAATTCAAAAACTCTTATCGAGTATACCTGTTTTCATGGCAATACAACTATTCACAGGAGTTCAGTAAGAATCCATCTTCCTTATAATGGGACATAACTGGAAGTGCTGCTATATAAGCAAGGCTTTGACTGGAATATCATATGGAGAAGGACACATAGAATCAGATATGACCAGACAATTTTAAGGAACTAAGGTCAACTGCATGGAGTCAATGCTTTTTACAAAGCCCTCTTGGAAAAAGCAGCCTGTACTTGGCTTACAGTGTTCCCAGCCTTACGGATGAGGAAGGAAGACCCCTTTCTGGCAAGCCCAGGAACCTAGGATACTGTGGGGCCCTCAAGAAGAGAGGGTTTCACCTAAATCTAGAGGGAGCGCAGGTGAACTCTGGCCTGGCTCCCTAGCCTCAAGGGGCTTTTGAAAGTCTAATCTGAAATTCTTTATGAGGAGTTCCAGCAACACAAACTTAAAGAGATCTTTGTGGTCAATTACCATTCTTACTGCACCTACAGAAAGAATCAGGTCAAATCTAAAGAGATCAGGCTTGTTTTGTAGCAAGCATCAGAAAGAGGGGTGATAGAAGTTTTATGCCTCAATGGAAAACCACAACACACTCTTGTGGGTTAGAAGATTCTAGTCCTGTTCACTGTCTTTGAGATTTCATTACCTACCTGTAAACTGGACTGGGATCTTGCCATCTTGCACAGTTTGTCAGTCCTTACCAAACTCTCAGTTCTTCTAGTTTCCTTCAATATCTGGCTACAACTCCCCCAGTTAATGTTTCCAAATTCTCTCCCACCCTGCTGACTCAAAGCCACTGAGAACTAAGCCTGGCTGCCTGGATCCTTATTGGGACTTTCTGTTGTTTATAGCTGGCTTTCCCTCCAAAATCTAATGAAGTCCAGCAAGCTGATGCTGGACGAAGGGCCACCATAATGCCTGGAGCTGCTCCTATGTGGGCCACTCAGGATGCTTCAAGCCCAACATCTAGAAAGCTTGACCAGCTACCCTACTACTCAGTCTCAACGGATGGTTCAGCTGGTCTTTAAGGAACAAAAGTTGACTGAATGAGAAATGAACTTATACTGGTCAAAGGAAAGAAGAATGTCTCTTCTTTCCTTGAATAAGAGGAGGGACTGACCATGACTCTCTGCTTGACCAAACTTTAGAGAGGCTCTTCTGAGCCTACTTCTTGACTGGGCCTCATCCGTGGGCACGGTCTTTGGCCTGCTGGGTCCTACGTGAACAAGATACTGTTAATTCAGTTTAGACACAACCTTCCACCCTCATGTTGGATCACCTTCACAATCCAATCACCATGGCCTGCCTGCAGCAAAAATCCTGCTAAGTAGGTTTAGCAAGAATCCTACTACCCTTGAATTTTCCATCCACTGACTTCCTCACTCTGCACATTAGCTATAGATCTTCTCTTGTCCTGAATGTATTCTGAGTTGAGTCCCACCTCTCCCCAGCTGGAACAGTCTTGACACCTATTGCAATAGTCCTGCATGAAGTCCTCCTCACTGTTTTAACAAGGATCAGAATAATTTTTCCCTTAACACCTCATACTGGCAGTGCTGGGAGGGACCATCTGCACCCTCCCATGATAAACTGGGAACTTCCTCTAAAGTCTATTTACATATTGGTTAATCTCAGGCAAAATATGTAATGGATTTCTTCCCCTTTCATTTGTTTGCATTCTAGTGAGAATTCGTGTTTTCTCCAAATGTTTGTCCCTAATTTTATTTCCTCCTTGCGTGTGGTCTCTTCCAATTCTCCCCTTACCCTACTGAGTGCTGGAAAGTTCCTTAACAATTTGCTGGGGGAAGGTGGGGAGGGAGAGGAGCCAATTTTTGCTTTGTTGGCCTTATTTACCACTATTGTGTCTTTGCTGGTTGTTACTAATTTTAATTGCAGTTTATCTCAGAGGAGTTTAAAAATTTATTTGCCAAATTTTCCATCTTTTTCCTTGTGATTTCATCTAGTGTTTCTTGGGGTGACAATCCTGTATACTCAAGGGAGGCCTGTGGGTGACTTGCTGGCTCCTCCCCACAGCTCCAAGAAGAGGATCCTCTTCTCCCCACAGTGCACAGAGAAGATGAAGGCTTGAGGAGAAGTCACTTAGCCAGAGTCCCATCGTGGGGGGCAAAACATCATCAGTCTGATTCCATTTTCTGACCAATTCACCACTGAGGTAGGCCAGGAAAGTCTCTCCCCTTTCAGAGATTTCATAAATGCTCGATCTATTTATTATTTTTTCTGTTAAGCCTGTGATTTTTTTTCACCACAAAAATACCATGATGCATCCATATGGTGGCTAACTATTATCAGTACAAAGGGATGAACTATTGATACGTGCAACAACTGGGGTGGATCTCAAGGGCATTATGTTGAGTGCAAAACGCCATTCTGAAAAGGTCATACACTGTATAAGACCATTTATAAGACATTCTTGAAGTGACAGAATGTTAGAGATGGAAAATGGATTAGTGGCTGCTCAGGGTTAGGGATGGTGAGGGAGGTGGGTAGGTATGGCTATGAAAGGATAGCATGAGTGACTGAACGGTTGGTGGTGATGGCACAGTTCTGTTTCTTGATTAGGGTGATGGTTATGTGAATATACACATGTGATAAAATGACAGAACTATACCAAATGAAAGAGACAGTCAAGGTTTTAATGATAAGGAATGTCTTTTTGTGTGGGGGACAAGGGAGCATCTAGCTGCTGACTTAGACCCAACTTCTAGGCGACCTGAAGTGAAAGCCACCCTTTTTTTGCAAAGTTCACAAAACCCAGAGATAAGACCAGTGGAGCAAAAAACACTGATAAGTAGGGGTGCTGTGATGGTGAGTTCCCTGATTAAGGGGGGGTGTGTGCATCCATTGTAGATTTTGACTTTCTCTGAGGGCTCCCAATTTTCTGAAGTTGAAATCTTGCTTGTTTGCTTGAGATGTAGCCATATTAAGTGGAACAGAGTTTGTTTGAATCAATGAAATAAAGGAAAAGTGGAATGGGGGAGATGAAGCATTAAAAAATTGAAAAAAAATACCAACACCCACAGAAAAAAAACCCCAACCTAAAAGGGGTATGCTGCCCAACTACCCCAAAAAGCTTAGCTTGGAAAATGAGAAATTTTGGTGAAAATGTCTTGCAGTGAATTTAGGTGAACTGGGATGAGACACATTGACCTTGACCCTTACCTATTCCCCACACCCACCTCTCCTTCTTATTTTCCCCCCAGTTGTGTCTGGTTCAGGCACCTGCTAACTGAGACAGTGGGTTAAAATAGAGTTAAAGGATAAGGTACCACTTACTCAGCTGGAGGCGGTGGCTTCTCCCCGAGCACCTGGTACTTTCTGTCCATTCGGTTGGGCTTGGAGTATCGTGTGATGCTGTGAGACACAGGCAAGTCAGTGCTCTGGAGGCTGGGGTGAGCGCACAGCTCTCCTGTGGCTGGAGGCTCTAGGCCTGCCTGTGGGACACTGTGACTCCCGTGTCTGGGGCAGAATCCTTCAAGATACTTCCCTGCTCCCCATCTGCTATGGAGACAACCTTATTGTGGGGGTGAAGTCCTTATCCCTAAAACCCACCCCAGGACCCTGAGAGGGAGGGAAGGGCCAGAAATTGTGCATCCTTGCTTCCCTGTGGTGAGGACCCAAAGAAAAACAGGTTGAGGTGCTTTTCAAATAAAAGGACACTATGCCCACACCCAAAGAACAAATAATCCAATCAAGAAATGGGCAGAAAACATGAACAGACATTTTTCCAAAGAAGACATCCAAATGGCCAACAGGCACATGAAAAAGTGCTCAACATC